AATATACAGAAAACCGTTTGGAAAAAGTGTTTCTTGTCCCGAAATACTTTTCCGGTAGTTAGTGATTTTACGTTCAAGGAATACTTATTAATCTAACAAGTAAGTGGTTTTTCGAAAGATGTGAGAAAAGCTGATAGGTATTTTTTTCAAATCGAATCATTTAAAATCCAAGAGATAGTTTTGAGGTATGCCACCATGGAAAAGTTGAGAGACGTCGATCGCAACTCTCTTTCACAGTTGGAAAAGCAGTATGCGGAGTTGATGAACAGAAAGAATGATGTTGAGCGTGAGCTAATGGACGAGCGCAAGGCGCGCAAGGAGGACGGCGGAAGACGGTTTGCTTTTTGACTACATAGTTGCTTTGCTTTCTTTCATGCTCAAGTTTCACAGACATTTCTTTGCAATTCCGTTGGCTCGCATATCAAATGTCGGTCGTCCAGTAATTCGTGCTTACGTTGTAACTGCGGCGATCTTTTCATGTTTAGTTTGGATTCGGTTGAACAACAACGTGAAAAAGAACGACAGCTGGAGCATGAAGTGGATCGACTTCGTAGTGAAGCGCTAGCACGAGAGGAAAGAGTGACTGACATTGAAAAGGAACTACACGCGCTCCGCAAATACAAAGAAAATAATGATGTTGAGGTGCGTTAGGTTTAGTGGTGCATTTCAATTGTTTTCCAGTTAGTCAATGCTGGTGAGTCGCCCACCAGAGCAATTTCTCGTATCTTTACAAAATTGACAGTCGGAGAAGATTATGAATGATGTGCTTAATAAATTGAGCTAGAGAGTTGTATAAGGTGCGTAATATGACGTATATTGCAACACGGATCTCGTGACTAAAAGAGTGTGGGAGGGCGGTAATGAGTGTTGTCGAAAAGGACGAAAGAAAGCTATTGTGTCGTGGGAGGATTATCTCTTCTGGTTAATATTTGTACATTTGATTATTTCTTGTGGTGCACTATAATGGACCACATTGACATCAAAACGATTATTGAATGCAACATGTCAATTAATTAAACCAGTTCGGCACACTTGAAGTAAAAAAGGAATATTTTGGAATAATAGAACATAATATCTTGCTGCTTATCTCGAAACAAATCAAGACATAGGGGAGACTCTGAACCGAGTCCCTTTATTAGGTTGCGTTATTATCTTTCTGTTACATTTTCAAACTTTCTGTTACATTTTCAGTAGGTTTTACAAAAACATTGAATAATTTTTGAGCCTTGTAGAAAATCTTTCGAAAATTCCACGAGGAGGGTCTTCAGTTTCTCATTTTTTAGGCGTTGAACATGGATTTGCGAATCATGCGCGAGAAGATGGTTCACCTGGAGGAGTCGCTAGCAGCAGAGAACAAGCTGAAACAGGAGTTATTTCGTGCCCTTGGTGACGCAAAGGCCAACAATGCCCATCTTCAGAGTACGTTGTGATTTTTTAAAAAATAAACCTGACTGTCAACTATAATACATATTATGCTGCCATCCGGGAAAATGCTTGTATTTGGTAAATCACAAATGAGGTGTAGATGATGTGTTGCCCGTACTCCGAATGTCGTGGCCTCACAGGCTGCTCAAGAATAGGCCTGACTTAACGGCAAGCTCTGGGATTTCTGGTCGAATTAAGCTTTCCGGTATGATTTGTCAAGGCTGAGGTGCTAAGGTCCTAGGAAGCAGCATTGGCACCGCACAACACCATCCTCTAACAAATCAGTGTTATTTCGATTTGCGCTACTGGGAGATAGTGTCATTTTCAGCCTTTAAGTTTTGTTTTCGGCCTTGTTGACGGTTTCTTCCCTTTATTCGTTGCTGGCGTTACCTTTTCTATCTCCACTTATGCTTCCAAGCGCAATAAGACATCAGTTCGATCGCGGACTTCCCTTAAGCCTGACTACTACATAGTGGTTTTTCCCTGTGCTCAAGGAAATTGTATTCAATGGTTTTTCCAATATTGTTAGTTATGCTCAGCACAACATCGCCGCGTATCAGTTGCCAATCAGCCAAGCGCAGAAAATGGACTCAAACATGTCGACCACCACACACATGGGTGTTGCTTATGGCAATCTGTGAGTTTTGTTTTAATTTCTACGTTTTTATTATTTAACTTTGTGCTTTTATTCTTTGTATTTGTTACTGATACCTTTTTACAACATTTATAGGCGGTACCAAAGTTTCAATCCATTCATATTAATTTTGTTTAACGTCATTTACATTTTTATTTACTCCCCAGAATTTCGTATGGCGTGCCACACTTTCACTGAAGTCATGTGGTGTGTGGTACGTACCTCGTCCATTAGCTTACATTAGGCTGGTGTCGGAGTCTGCGATCCGTCGCGCGTCAGACTACAGAAATCACAAGTGCATTGATCGACACTGAGAGGTGTTTTTCAATCCCACTGCATTACTGCTTGATGATGGTGGTTGAGTGACTACCTTTATCATTCTACTTGTTTCATATTCGGAGTTTCAAACGTTCAAATGAGGCAATTGCGATTTTTGTGATCCCCGCGACGGATCGTGGACTCTAACACCAGCCTTATCCGTTATTCTTTCTTTCGAAAGGCCCTAGCGCCATTGTCGCGCGTAAGCCGAGCCGCGGTAACGATACATCTGTGATAATCTCAGCTACTTTACCTACCTGTACGAAATATTGCTTTACACGGCGTTCTTTGACGTTTTAACCAATGTTTCATCCGTGGTTCGTGGGCCTAGTAGTGTGGCAGGTTCATGTGAACTAGTTTTGAATGTTATCAAAATTAACAACTGAGAAGTGGGTGATAAAGTACGAAAACATTTCATTTCAAAGGCTGGGGTCGCGATTATTTTCTTGAAGCATTTTTATCGGTGACTAAATAATCAGAGTTCCTGAGCACAGAAGTAGTGGCTGTCGCGACTCAAGCATGCGGCAAGGATGCATACCTCCGCGATCGTTGCCGGTCCACTCGTTCGCAGCCAGCGACTCTGTGTTTGCGTCATCTCGTTCGACGTGCTCTCTCGCGTGGTCTCTCTACTCGCCGAGCCATGTCTCCCATCACAAAATCGTCGACCTAGCAAGAAAAGGCTAATAAAGGATAGAGCATTTGCCGTTGATCAATTCCTTTTTGGGATGCGTCACGCATTCTACTTCCATTTGTACATTGGCAAAGATAGAGGTAAATTAAGAAAATGCAAGACAATCGATGGCAAAACCAATATGCCAAATTAGCGTAGAGGCCCAGAAACGAAAAAAAACAATGATAATACGATCCCCGTGTATAAAAATAACATAATTCTAAAATTTATTAATATAACTAACTTACCCAGAACCAGAAATCTACAAAAAAAAACAAAGAAGAAAAAAAAATACCAAAATTACCGACCACACGAAAAGAAAAAGGAAGACACTGAGAACGGCAATTAGAATAAATAAGAGCCACAAAAGAAAAAGAGACACGAAAATCAAACAAAGAAAACAACCCCACTTAGGAAAGAAAAATACCAAAAAGAGAAAAAAAAACAACAGACAATACAAAGAAACAAGATAAAAAGAAAACAAAAACAGAAACGAAAAGAAAAACAGTAAAAGAAAAACACCCTAAAAAAATAAGACCAAAATCCACTACTACTCACAAGCAAAACATAACAGCCCACAGCCCACGACGAAGATCCACTACAATTATAACGGGCAAAGGTATTCATCCTGCTATCCCTTTCATAATTTCCTTTCCCACTTTATATAATTTTTTCGGCACACCCAGCGCGGACAACTCAAATTCACTAGACACAACATTATCACGCATCTCCCACGACAAATTGAACAGCCGAAGAAAAAAAAAAAAAAAAAAACAAAAAAAAGTACACACCAACACAAATTCAAAAAAAAAAAAAAAAAAAAAAAAAAAAAAAAAAAAAAAAAAAAAAAAAAAAAAAAAAAAAAAAAAAAAAAAAAAAAAAAAAAAAAAAAAAAAAAAAAAAAAAAAAAAAAAAAAAAAAAAAAAAAAAAAAAAAAAAAAAAAAAAAAAAAAAAAAAAAAAAAAAAAAAAAAAAAAAAAAAAAAAAAAAAAAAAAAAAAAAAAAAAAAAAAAAAAAAAAAAAAAAAAAAAAAAAAAAAAAAAAAAAAAAAAAAAAAAAAAACAAAAAAAAAAAATAAGAATGATATGTCTGGCTCGAGGAAGTCGGACAAGGCCAGGGAGTAAAAAGAAAAAAAGAAAGAGATACCTACCCCACTACAAAAAAACACTAGAGTGTAACGAGAAGCATCAATCGACAACATTATACAAGTTATACGAAGTTATACGTGCTAAGGGAATGAGAGACTAAGCGCGGAGGGAGAGTATGGGCGAGAGAGCGCTACAGATGAGAGAGCGCCAGACAACAGCCTGATAAGAAAAAAAAAGTCTGCAGCTTGGGCAGCTTACTTTGCAAGGCCAAGCGCTCTTTATCGGTCGGTTTCCGTGCACGAGGAACGCCACATCTGTGATTGTCCTCTAGGGGTCTATACTAGAGACCGAAGAGAAGCGTTCACACGAACTCTAATAACAAGAAAAAAAACCTAAAACAATGCAACATAGAGAAAAAAAGATTAAGAATAGACCTAATAATTAAAACACATAAAACACATAACAATAACAACCATACAAAGAGAAGATAGAAAAAAAGTTAGAAATATATACGAACGAACAACACAGAGAAAAAAAAAAATAATAATAAAAAAATCTAAATAAAAATGTAATAAGAAGAAAATAAAAAAAAAAAAGCGAAAAGAATATGAAAGATAAGATAGAATAGTAGATCTGAAAATAGAATAGAGAAAAAAATAGAAAACAAGGAGTGATTAATGTGAAAAGTTAGTACTGTCTAGACCGGAAAGAATATCATAGCTACGAAGGCAACACAATAAGCGTTCAGATAACAGAGTTAAGATTCAAAGAATATAGAATATAGTTAGAGAGACAAAAAAAAAGAGAGACATATTTAGTGGGAGAGATCAACAAGAAATGATAACGACTGAATAAGGGAGCTGATAAAAGGCGCTAAGATACCGACAAGTAATTCGCGAAATATCATAGGCATAACAGCAGAAGCACAAAACGTCGGTAACAAGGAGTGAGTTTACAAGATTGAAAATAATAGAGATTAGATGGGCAAAGGCAGAAAATAAAATTATATGTCGGGAAGGTACACAAATAGATTAACAAAGACTAGAAATAATGAAGCAAGAATAAAGAAGAAGACAGCTGCAAACACAATATAAATTCACAAAAATATCAATCAGAGAGACGAAACTTCGCAGCCAGTCGTCAGTAGCTGATTTTGGGACATGAATATGAGGGTGGGACGGGAACATATTTGGTGGGGGTCACAAAGTGATAACGACAGATGAGGACTGATAATTACGATATGCGTACGAACGTAGAGATTACTCGAAACCAGATTGCAGATAATGCATTTTATTCATTTATAAAACAAAATATCAATAATATCAATTAGACGTTGTATTAGAATATAAAATATACAAACAACTATATACCAGACAAATACACCTACTTAGACAGCTTTGAAGGATGAAAGGGAATGCCCTCCTAATACTAAATAGTGACATAGTAAAAAAATAACCTGGAACATATCACACGCATTTGAGATAAGCAAGAAAAAATTTACGGAACGCTCCACTCGATTCTCATGCACAATAGGTGGTTGCTTAAATACAATACATCAAACTTTAAAGCAAATGTATGCTATATCGACGATACGCGCTATATCAAAAACAGTGAGATACAGCCAAGATGGGCAACGGACAGTAATGCATTTAACGAAGCAGCTATAGTTAAGCGGTGAAACCCAAAGCTTCACCGATTGTCAGTTTTGTCAGAGGGCTTCCGTGTCATGCGCGCGGTAGCGGCGGCCTAAGCTGATGACTTGCGGGGGCCAGCCGATGTACAAGTCAGTGTTTTTATCCTCCCAGACAAGTCTGGTACCAATTAACCGACCCCGGAGGGATGGAAGGCTTGGTTGGCCCGGGCGACTCACGACCCAGGATTTGATCCCCGGACCGCTCGCGTGGTAAGCGTGCCACTTGCCACTACACCACTTCCGCCCTAGCAAGAAAATGGGATCCATAATTCGGCGTTTCCTATGCTTCATTTTCTTTTCCTTTCCATTTTTTTTGAAAAGAGATGGCGTCCTCATCGCATTTCCTTCCCCAGTTCCCCAGTTGAGCGGAGTAACACATAAATTCGATGCCGACCCGTTCCTCCAAGCTAACAGGAGAGTGGGAAAATATTAGTTCCGCATCGCAAGTGCTTTCATACGTTACTTAAACACTACATCCAGGAAGTGAGTTGTTTACGAGACCCGGAACCTTATTTGTTAATAAGTTTGTGTGGCACGAACATCACCTATCCTTTACGAGTCATTCATGTATGAGATCTTGCGGCTCCATGTTGAGGTCAAATGTGAGGCGCATCCAGTTCGTTGATTAGTTGGAGCAATTTGCTTTTTTCATTTTTCACACCTCTCAATATTCTATAGAATGCGCTGAATTTTGGATGGAGATTGTCTTCCTCGCCGTTTTGAATATTTCGGTCTAGTTGGCGTTATTTTTTCGGCGGTAATTTTTCTATTGTATCAAAAGGGATCAAATTTCGATATGTTTTGAGGTGAGACCTTCTTCACTAAACCAAAATATTTTTTTCGATATGGAGAAAATTTGAAGAATGATGAAAATATTTTATTAGAGTTTTCCAAGCATGGCCAAGTTCCAAGTGAATTTCAAATTGTCATGAAAGAATTTAGACTGATTTTTTTGTTTGATAACTGCTGTTTTTTCGCCGCAGTTCGCCTTGCAAATGTTTCACAAAAGGGTAACTTCTTCAATTTGCTTGAAACTAAAGGGGTCTTGCCATTATTCGTAGCTGTTTTCTTGCCAATTAGCATTTTCTTGCGAAGGGTGTTCCCAGCTTTTCAAGTAGTGCCACGATGAAGCTCGGGACGTGCGACTGAATCTGGCCTCTGTCAAAGGCACGCCATGCTGCGGAAAGCACTCTTGCACCGTTGAGAAGCAATGTTTTGGACTGCTTTTTTGCTCTACT